TCCCCGCCGCGCCCGGCCACGCGCTGTGCCCCGCCGCCCTGCAGCCGGGCTCCGGCGGCCTCGCCAACCTGGGCAGCAGCGGCAGCTCCAGCGGAGCCGCCAGCGAGGGCGGCCACTCCAGCGACAGCGGAGACGAGGTGAGCTCTCCCCCACCCCGAGCCCCGCGCGGACGACTTCGCCGGGATGCGGCCGCCGCTCTCCCCGACGGCTGATCCGGTCGCGCCGACGCTGCCCGACCCCGAGAACGTCGCGTGTCGGTCCCGCCGCGGCCGTCCGACTCTGCGCGGGGCCGCGGTGAGCGCTGCTCGCGATGGGGTCGGGCTGCTCCCGGTTTCCCGGCCGTCGGGGCCCCGCGGCTGCGGCTCGGGCAGCGCTTCCTCGCCCCCGCGATGTTCGCTAGCGCGGCGCGGCTGCCTCCGACGTCGAGGCGCGCGCGTGTGTGCAGCTTTGCGGTCTGCGGGACTTCTGTGTTTTTTAACGTTCGGAGGAAAGGAGAACTATAAAGGCTCCGGGTGGCAGTGCGACATGCCCGGCTGCAGCCCTCGAGGCTGCGGTGGGAGTCCCCGTGCCTGTACTCTTGAGAAGACCCCGAGGGGCCCTTCGTCCGCTGTGCCCGCAGCATAGCGGGACATTTCTCTGCCGCGGAGGCAGGGAGATCTTCGGATGTCTCGGAGCGTTCGGCCCCTGCGGACTGTGGGTCCCGTCGGACCGCGCTCTGCGCTCTGCCCCGCTCCGCCTCCGAGCATCGCATTGGGGACGGACACCGCGTGCGCCCCCATGGGCGGCACCCACGGGTGGCTGACCGGCAGTTGAGCTTTGGGGGTTTTGAAGTTTTTTCTCGGCGTCGCGTAGAAGCGTCCATCCCAGGTAGATGCGCACCGGGGTCAGCAGCGGCGGGGTTGGATGGCGATCGTTTCAAAGTTTCTGCGTGTTTTCTCTGCGTGGGTCGGCCGCTTTTGTGTGAGCGGCCGCAGCACGGCAGGGCTCCCGAGCCCGGTGGAAAGAGCCGGGGATGCTCCTGGCTCCCCCGGGGTCGGCGAACGCGAGCGGTTAAGGCTGACGCTTGCCGGCAGGAGGCATGTATATAAAAGCCAAAAACCTGCTGCGAATGTGTAACTGCGTAAAAGGGTTGCGAAATGCCCACGGCAGCACTTGAGGCTGTAGCGGTGGCAGGAAGCCGATGCGCTCGGGAGAGCGGCCGTCCCGAAGTGCAGATCCTGGCTGGGGGAGCCTCGCGAACCGCGCGGCTGTCCTCACCCGCGGTATCTCGGGCCACTCACCGTGTGTCTGCTTCTGCCCCTGCCAGGATGCGCCGACCTCAGAGGAACTGGAACAGTTTGCCAAGGACCTCAAGCACAAGCGCATCATGCTGGGCTTCACGCAGGCTGACGTGGGGCTGGCTCTGGGCACGCTCTATGGTAAGAGGGGAACCTGGTGACCCAGCTGAGAGAGCAGCATGCTGGAACCGGGTCCCCGAGGAAGGGGATCCTAGGAGCTGCGGGCTCAGCGCTGCTCCGGGGGGGGGGGCACAGGTTGGGGGCCACGGTTTGGGGGAGCTGTGCATGATGTGTGACCTCCCCGTGCAGGGAAGATGTTCAGCCAAACCACCATCTGCCGCTTCGAAGCTCTCCAGCTCAGCTTTAAGAACATGTGCAAGCTGAAGCCGCTGCTGCAGCGTTGGCTCAACGAGGCAGAGAACACGGACAACATGCAGGAGGTACAAGGCAGAAAATGCATCTGTCTCCCCTGTGTCTGCAGGGTTCAGTGGTGGGGTGCTGGGAGTGGGGTCGGATGCAGGGAGTGAAGCAGCACTCTGAGCTTTTACTGCATCTCTGAGGCTGTGCTGGCACAGTTACAGGGAGAAAGCCTTTCCCTTGCAGAGCCCTGCAGCCAGCTGTGCCTGTCTGTGTGGGGGAACATGGACAGCCCTGGGTCACCCTGTGACCAAGTGTGGGGTCTCTTACTTCCAGATGTGCAATGCAGAGCAAGTGCTGGCCCAAGCCCGGAAGAGAAAACGTAGGACCAGCATTGAGACCAACGTGAAGGGAACACTGGAGAGCTTCTTCCGCAAATGTGTGAAGCCCAGTCCTCAGGAGATCTCCCAGATTGCCGAGGACCTCAACCTGGACAAAGACGTAGGTTTGGCAGGGTGGGGAGGGCGAGGGGGGTCCCAAACAGCTTCAGCTCCTGGGCGCCCCGTGGGGCCGGTTTGGTGCCAGGAGGTGGGAGGGTGGCTGCACTGCGCAGAGCCACAGAGCCCCACTCATCCTTGCCCCTCCTCCCATCTCCCCTCCCTCACAGGTTGTCCGGGTCTGGTTCTGCAACCGGCGTCAGAAAGGCAAGCGGCTGCTGCTGCCCTTTGGCAACGAGTCAGAGGGGGTGATGTACGACATGAACCAGTCCCTGGTGCCCCCTGGTCTGCCCATCCCAGTGACATCCCAGGGCTACAGCCTGGCACCGTCCCCCCCCGTCTACATGCCACCTTTCCACAAGGCTGAGATGTTCCCCCCGCCTCTGCAGCCCGGGATCTCCATGAACAACAGCAGCCACTGAACAGCAGCGGGGGGCAGGCAGCGGTGCACGCATCCAGAGGCAGCGTCCCCCCCCCAGCCCTTCCCCGCCATGTGAGCGCTGTCCCAGCAGCGGCCCTGTGTGGGGTCAGCCCCTCCTGGCTCCCCCCTCCCTGCTACCTGGCTGGGGCCAGGGGGAGCCGCCTGTGCCAGGCCCCAGCCGAGCTCCTCTCCTGCGAGAACCAGAAAAAAGCATTTCTTAAATTTTTGGGGGGTTGGGGGAGGGGGATTTGTTGTTTCTGGTTTTGGTATTTTTTTTAATGGTTTTGATTGTATTTCTAGTTTTTGAAAAGTGAAAATATCTTTGTAGTGATGGCTAGTTTCCCAACTGCCTCCTCCCTGCCGTGTAGAGCAGGGCTGGGGTGCTGCGGGGCGGGGGGCTCCTGCAGGCTCTGCGCCTGTCCGGGCAGCCAGGGGGAGCCGAGGGCCGTGATGGTGCTGGGGGAGCCCGGCAGTCCCCACCCCCCTGCCCACAGCACAGGAGAAGGGGTTGTGTTGCACCCACTGTGGGCAGAGTAGGGGGCAGGGAAGGCTGTGAGCCCACAGTGTCACCATGGAGCCAGTGGGGCTGACACCATCCTGTCCATGCTGCTAGCACCCCGTGCCTTTGAGCCTGCTGTAGTTGATGATTTATTTTTTTTTCCTTTAATCATATTCCCTCTGACAATTAAATAAATCTCAGTGTTTTGGGGCACAAGAGCTAGTCAGCCCCTTCCTTTCTTTGCCTTTCTTTGCCAGGCCGGTCCAGCTGTGCATGTTGTGGGTGGGCTGATGTCTGTGTCCTGGCAGGAGCTCTGCAGAATGGCAGCATTCCAGATTGCAGCAGAGCTGCTGCTTCGTGCTGCCCCAGGCTGCTTGGGTCAGTGGATGCTGGCCCTGGGGCTGCCCTGTGCTGTGGGACCAACAACCCGTGCACAGCTCCAGGGCTGGGTTGCAGATCAGTGGGAGCACACCGTCTTTTCGTCTGCAAAAGCAGACATGTTAAGGAATATGTGCGTGTATGGAGTGGGAGGGGGTCACTTTCCACACCTCCAGGGCTGCTGTTTTTTCTGTAGCTGCTCTTAGGAAAGGTGAAACTCAGCCTGGTGAGGGACATTGGTGCTGGAGTGCAAGTGGTGCCCAAACCAGGAGCGGGACACTGCCAGGGGCTGATACCTCAAGCAATGAAGTGACCAGAGCTCCGATGAAACCTCTGAAAAGCCCCTTATTTAGTTCAGTTGGTGCAAGTAAACGATGCTCTTTGCCCTTTGGAGCTAGTTTATACCCTTGCTCCTTTATGCTGTGCAGCACAGTTGGTGCAGGCTGCTGCTTGGGGCACCTGAGGATTCTGAAAAGGGGAGCAGTGGAAGCCCAGGCCGCATGCCAGCCCCGCAGGGCAGCACCCCGTTGGTTCACCCTTGTAGGTAAAGAACTGAGGGATGCACGGTGAGGGCCGGGGGATGCACAAAGCAAGACAGGGACAGAGCAGGATTATCCCAGCCCTGTCATGCCATCACCCAGCCTCAACATCTGCTGCTGGACCCAGACAGGGGCTTCTCGATGTGTGCGGAAGCTGCCCGGGGTGCAGGGTGGCCACAGAGCAGGCTCAGGGTGCAGGCACAGGAGCAGGCAGTGCCAAGTGGGCTGGGTGCTGGGTGCGCACAGCAGATGGTGTCTGCAGTGCAGGGTGTGTGATATGGGGTGTGTGCAGTGCAGGGTGCCCAAGGTGCATGGTGTGCAGGGGGCTGGCGGTGCCAGGGTGTTGGTGCCAAGGGTGCCAGCAGGGCAGGGTTTGCTCTCAGCTCGCTGTACAGCTCAGGACAGCCCATCTCAGCAGCTTCCTGTCACAGCATGCTGGCAGGGGAGTGAGAAACCACAGCCATTCTACCCTGAGTCGCCTTGCACTGAGCAGGCTGTGATTGCTCTCAAGAGCATCCTGCTGGCACTGTGACACCTGTGGTGAGAGCGGGGTGGGAGAAATGGGTGCTGCAAGGCTGTGCTAGTGCAGAATTTGGGGCACAGTAACAAGGTCCCCTCCTTGGCTGCAGGGTGCTGGGCCCCCAGCAGGATGTGGCTTCTCGAGGTACAGGAGGGGTTGGCTCCCCCACCAAGCCAGAAATGCCACTGCAGAGGGAGCTTCTGCCACTGTGGAGTCACTGCTTAGATAGTGGGGGGAGCACAGAGCAATAGTAGGGCGTAGGGGGAAGGGGAGGCTGGGGGCTCCTAGTGCCCCTGGCTGCCCTCAGCCCTGCCCAGGCCTCAAGAGATGAGCAGAGCCTCAGGAAATCTGTGCTGTTTATTTCCGAAGCACCCTGTTGTTGCACGGTGGGGGAGGTCAGCATGGGCTGGTCGTGGTGTGCGAGAAGTTCTGCCACATGGCATTGCACAAGGTCACAATGTGGCAACAGTGGGGCCAGGATGAGGTCCCACGTCCTCCCTGCCTGACATCCTGTTCTCAAGGACCACTCTGCCACCCCAGTGCACCCCTGATGTCTCTGGCAGTGCCAGCCTTGCGCTAGGTGTTGAACCAGCTCTGCAGGTTGGGATAGAGGCGGCCCTGGGACAGGTGGGGGTGCACGGCACAGATGGTGCAGATGCGCTCCCTCCAATCTGCATAGAGCTTCACGCTGTACCTCTTCTGCCACGCAAAGAACTGCTGGTAGCGACTGGAGTTCATGGTCTTCAGGAAGGTGGCCAAATCCTCCAGGGAACCGAAGTCGTCGACGTGGATGAATGAGTCTGCAGGGATGAACTGCTCATAGTTGGCCCGGGGGGGGCCCAGCACCACCGGCACGGTGCCAGCCAGCAGAGAGTTCCTCCAGAGCTTCTCAGTGATGTAGTCCTGGTGGATGGAGTTCTCAAAGGCCAGGTAGAATTTGGATTTGGATGTCGTGGGCAAAAGGCAGTCCTTGCAAAGCGGCTTCTTGGCTGCTTTCCCATAGAGGTTCACGTGGAGATACCTGGACAGGTTCTTATAGACTTCAGCTCTCTTCTGAGTCCTGTGATAGTTGCTGATAACCCAGGACACCAAGTTGGTCTTTGTGGGGATGCTCACAGTGGCTGACCGGTTGGGCACCAGCTTGCCATAGGGCATGAAGATGTCCGAGTCCCGCCTGTAGGTCATCACCCAGTTGAAGGTCTGGTTCCATCCTGCTAACGCTCTCGTGTTGGTGGGGGACTCCAGGGACACCCAGACCCAGCCCTGCCCATGCGGTCTGTCCCGGGGCAGCTTGTCCCGGCCCCGCGGGAGGGTGGTGTGAAGGAACACCACCACGTCAGCCTGGCTCAGGAGCCGTCGCTCTGTGCTGAGCCGGCAGCCCGCGATGCCGTACTGCTCACGGCAGACATCCCCGCTGAGGTCTGGGACCTGCCTCGAGGGCCATTCCCACACCAGGACTGTCAGCGCCTTCGTGTGCTTGAGGGCTTCGTCAGAGCTGTTGGGTGAGCGGATGAAGCACTTCAGGTTCCAGAGCACGGTGACCAACAGCCCTGCAGTTACGGCTGCCTTCACACTGGGCCGGCCCCACAACCACCGCAGCAGCAGCAGTGCCCTGGACATGGTGCCTGGGGTCTGCTGGCAGCTCCCTGGACAGAGAAGAGGCCCGTGAGGGCCATCAGCTCAGCCACCCAGCAGGGGGGCACAGGGCAGAGGGTTGGTGGGGTTGGAGGAGGACTTCTCTGTGCTTCCTCCACCCAAACCCTATGGGGTTCAAGCATAGCAGAGCGCATTGGGAACCCGGTGACACTGACCCCTGTGTGCCCACAGCACCTGCACCAGGGAAAAGTCCCACATGCAAAAGATCAAAAGGCTATGCCCAAGTCTACCTGGCAGGGCATGAAGAACAGGAGCCATCCTGTCCCCATCACTGCCCACAGCACCCCAGCACTGTCATATCACCCCCACATGCCCCTCCAGTGCCCCCATCTCTGGAGCGAGCAGTGATCTACCAAAGGGCACACAGAGCAGCATCCACCTGTTCTCTGGTCACAGCTGATGTGCACCACTCTCAGTGACACACACAAGGCATGTTTGCCTTGCCACTTGCCTCCCACCTCAGTTTCTCCATCTGATGAATGGACACAGTTCTCGTTTTGCCTGGGGGGAGTTGAGATTGGGATGCAGCCAGGTTTGCTGCAGCAGAGCCCAAGAGGAATGTGATGTTCTTCCTGGGGGCTGCAGGATGGAGATATGCACCAGGGATGAGGGGGTGATCTGGGTCCTGCCCCACTGCTGGGGGCAGGGAGCTGCAGGAAATGCCCATACTCTATGGCAAGGCCCCAGCTGTGAGCACACAGACAGGTTTGCCCTCAAGACATTCCTGGTAGCAACTGGCAAGTCCCAAACCTCAAGGCCAGAGTGCAGTGTCCTGCTCAAAACTTGTCCTCCTCACCCCGCACCCTCGTGCAGCAAAGGCAGTGCTCTTGCTGGCCTCAGGGTGTCTCCCCAGACCCAAGCCATCCAGGCTGAGAGCTTGCCACGGGCACCTCAACGCCCATCCTTTATTTCCAGTGTGTTCCAGGTCCCCAGCCAGCAGGGCAGTGGGGGCTGCAGGCAGAGGGCCCTTCAGCTCCATAGGGTTGCAGCAGAGCTCAGCCCACAGGCGCAGGCCAGGGGTGGCTGTGGGGCTGCGAAGGGATTGCTCAAAACCCCCCCGAGTGTCAGTCCCAGGCGCTGTACAGCAGGACTCCCTGGTTTTGCTGTGCCGGGTTGATGCTGGGTGGCAGGCCATGGGGCAAGCTGCAGAGCAGTTCCCCAGTTCTGCTGCCCCATCGTTCGGCAGCCTGCACTTCTACTTGTGCTGCAGCCACATTCCTGGCAGGGCTCAGAGCCTGCAGGCTGCCCGCTGCATTCAGCACAAAGACCGTTTCCTTTCTGGGGAACCCCCCCCAAAGCCCACTGGATGCCTCTGACCCACTGCTAGCCAGGGGTGCTGGCCCCTCTAATTTCAGAGGGCTGAGGAAGAGGTTGCTCCACTTTCTCAGCTGAGCTGCAGCAGCTTTGCTTTTGAAAATCCCTTCCCTGCTTTGGCCTGCTCGGTCTGTCATGCTAAAATACATGAGCTAAGTTTAGGCTTCAGAAGAAAATCATCATCCGCAGAAGGGAGGGCTGGGAAAGCTCTTCATGCTCTGCACACTGCATGCAGGGCATGGCCCCCCACCTGCCTGTCCCCGCAGAGGGGACACTGCCCCACTTCGGAGGGATGCTGTGGGGGCCTGCTGCCAGGCTGGCAGTGCCACAAGTCGATGCACTGCTCAGCCCCAAGCCCGGTGCATGGCAGTGCTCGCGCGCGGGCTCACTTACCGGGGAAGGGACCGTGGCACAGCGCGGCACGGCGCAGCCAGGGAAGGTGACGGCTGTCTGGGTGCCAAGGGCAGCTGCTGGCTCTGGCCTAAAGTACTCGAGGGCTTCCTCTTTTCTGTGGTTTTGCTGGTTTTGCTGTGCAACTGCCTCTCACAGGGATCCTTCCTGGTATCAGAACTCTCTGAGCACTTCCCCCCATGCAGAACGGGTGGCAGTGTCAACCTTGGATGGGTGCATGCCATGTGCCTGTGCCAGATGGGACCCTGCTGCCCCATGCAGTGCGCTGGCAGCCCAGCGGACACCACCCTTCCAGCTCCCTGTGCTGGATGTCCTGCCAACCACCCTCCCGCTTCCTCTCGTCTCCTTGGCATGGCTGTGGCTCTGGGGGATCTTTGCAGAAGAGGCATTTGACCCTTTGTAGGGTTTCATTCTGCAAAGTGGTTTCTGATGAGTCAGCTTTGAAACTAAGAACAAAGAATACCTCCCTTCTGTTGAGCACCTTTCCCATCCCTGCTGCTATCCAGACCCACAATTAGCTGCAGCTTTCCCTTATACTGCCCCTGTTTTGGGGTTTGCACAGTGTCCCCATGTCCTTGCACCAAGGTGCTCTCACAAGCAGACAGGGATGAGGTCCATGCCTACAGTCTGAAGTCTCCAGCTCTCCCACCGTTTGCATGCCTTCTACTCCCACCCCACAGCAGGGGACAGGGAGGGGGCATAGGGTGACACTGGGGAAGTGACAGCAGGGACACACTCAGCCTGGTCTGAGAAAACAGCAAGATGCTCCTTCGGCTTGGACTGAAACCTGCTGCAGCGTTTGTGTTCGCTTCAGCCCACTGCAGAGCTGAGAGCGGCACAAGCCTCATCCTGGCACTGCCAGCAGGACCACCTGGCCCTGCTTAGGCTGGGGGCGATGCGTCCTGGCGAGCACTGGAAGGAGCCCTTGGTGGGCATCCTGGGTCTGCGCCTGTGTTGAGACGGATGTGGCCCAGCCCTCAGCCACCCTGCGTGCCACCCTGCAGTTGGGTTGAAAACAGGATGCCAGCCTGATTTTGGCTCACACTGACTCATCTTGAAACTGTCAGCTAAAGTGGCACCAGCAGCTCCTCTCTGCTCCCAAGCATGGCAGCTGAGAGCAAAAGGGAAAGCTGGCATGTGTACGCTCCCACGGCACCTGCACAGAGGGCTGCTCCCGTGCCCAGGTCCGTCCATGCCACTGTTCTCATGCATCTTCCCACCTGGTTGTATCTTTGCTGGCATCTCTGTCCAGGCATCACCTTCCCACACAGCCCTGGCAGGGTAAAGGGGGGGGGGAAATTGAAGGAGAGGCAGGGAGGAGAGCTCTGGGGCACGCAGTGTTGTCCTGTGTGGGCTGGCACTTTCATTGCACAGTGTGCTCAGAGTAGAGAGTGAAGTTCCGCCACTCTCTGTGCCCCTAAACCACTCCCTGGGCATCCTTGGGATGTTCGAGCAGCTCTGGGGGACGCCATCGTACCCTTGTTCCTTTCCAGCCCTGGGCTGGTGGCACTGCCCTCTGGACCCACAGTGCTGGTGGAGCTCAGAGGGCACCACAGACAACAGCTGGCACCAGGCTGGGCACAGCGCTGTGCCCCCGTGCCGGGGCGCAGCAGGGCTCTGTGGTTTCAGAGACCTCTGATGCCAACTGCAGTGCTGCGGTTGGGTGTTTTTCTCCCTTGTGCTCTGTTTCCTGTTACCTTTGTCACCCCTCCTTTCTGTGTCTCTTCTCCTCCCACATTTCCAGCTGATACCAGGCGCTACACACCCGAGGCCGCCCCGACCTGAGCACTGCTGGCAGCACTCCCTGCCCAGTGCTGTCCCTGTCCCCAGTACAGGTGGCCTCGGAGTTCCTATCACAGAGAGCAGTGCTATGGCCCAGCTTTCCCCGCTGCTGCTGAGAGCAAATACTGTCGGGGTTTCGAGCAGGAGGAATGCTGCACAGGCATCCCCTGTCCTCAGCCACTGAACACTGGCCCTGGGAGGTGGCACTTGCCTGGCAGAGATGCCACACAAGGTTTCGCCCAGAAGTTTTTTGAATAATGGCACTTTATGACAGGACAAGGGAAGCTTTTGTGGTGCCCAGGCAGCTGCTCTGGAGCAAAGCCTGCAACGCTGTCACCCTTAGCAACACAACTCGGAGGCGGGCAGGCGAGGCACTCACTGTGCTGCCCTTGGCCCTGGCAGCAGCGTGGGGTCGGGATGGTAGGAGACACAGCAAGAGAGGAAGGGGAGCAGGGGTACAGAAGGGGAGCAGTGCAGCTGAGGGTCACAAGCCTGGCCCCAGAGCTGCCTCTGCACTTCTGCGAACATGAGCAACAGAGGGGGCACCCCCAAAGGCTCGTCCCCAGTGTGGTCCCCCAGGCAAGCCTTGCCGCAGGGGATGGGCACAGCGGGTCCGCGACACTGCCGGGAGGGAAGAGGATCGAGGGTCGCTGCCGTGTGACAAAAGCAACCACCAGGAGGAGATGAGTCCACGTAAATCTGCCAATAATGGGTTCCCGGGCTACACCAAGGAAGAGCACTGTCCTGGGCACTCCTCGGGGCGACGATGTGCGCCATGACTGCCACGGGCTCGGCAGGGTCTGCGGCGCCACGGATCCACCGCCACTGCCGCCCAGAGCTGTGGGCGCCCATCCCTGGAGGTGTCCAAGGCCGTGGATGAGCCCCGGGCAGCCCGAGCTGGGAGGCAGACGGCCCACGGCAGGGGTGGCTCTGGGGGCTTTAAGGTCTCTCCAACCCGACCGCGCTGTAGCTGTGCTCCCTGACGGAGAGAGCAGCAGAGGCTGCTGGTGCCCCGCACGCCTCCGGGGCAGACGAGGGTACCGTGCTGTGCATCCCGCAGCGCGGCCGCGAGGTGCGTCACGCACAGCTCTGCCCCGCGCCCCGCAGCCGCCGCAGCGGAATCCCGGCGGTGCCTTTAAGGGGCGTCAGCCGCAGGTCGGAGGCGGTGCTGCGCAGGGCCGGGCCGGGGACGGCGGGGACGGCCGCCTGCTGCCAGCCCCGCCGATCCGAGCCGAGCCGAGCCGAGCCGAGCCGAGCC